ATTTATATATATATAATAAATTTTTTAAACAAAAAGGTAAAGAATGAGGTTGCTTAGCTGTTTTCCTTAAGGTTTCATTTCAGATCGAAATTTTGAGAGTTCACTCACTACCCATAGAAGAGTTGGCATTATAAACCTATGGGTCAATACCCTGATTCTCCTATTTTTCTTCTAGGTCAGGTTGGTCGGCCCCTTCCCACTGTTCCTGCCACTTCCTGAAGCCTGAATGGGCTTTTTTTGGAGGCAGTGCTACTTCTCTGCCTGACAAGGTGCTGTTCAATGGGATGTTGTTCCAGTTTTTCCTCTTCTGCCTTGTTTTCTGATCTCTCCCCTATTTCTCTTTACTCTTGACTGTTATTTCACCATCACTCTTTCACCTTTTTTTTTGTTCTCCGCTCGATGGTGTCTGAAATTAGATTTTTACTATCAGCCTCTGATCGACGTTAGATCAAGGATGGTGGTGTGCCCTGGCAATGCTTTGGGCATCTAAGCCGTGTTGCAGGCTGCAGGTTCTGTAGCGTCCTGTGTCTGATATCTAAAGATGTTAGTGCACTGGTACGCTTGCTGACACACACAGGGATGTATCACTACTTGTCCTTTCCTTTTCAAGACTGCTGTCCAAAAGATAACTTTGATACTACATCTGTGTATAGTCAGAGTTATTTTAGAATTAGTGCTCTTTTGCAATGTAGTAACTGATTTCCTTCATAGCGTGTGATCATCTAGATTTCAACTGGTTTTTTTAAAAGGGCTCTTTCAGGTAGCTTATCTGTCCCCAATTCACCCATGCGAGTTTCTGTAAATTTAAAACCATATTTTTTTCTTAAATTTTTTTTTTCATTTCTTCTTCTGCCTCTGAAAGATTCAGGCAAGTAGGAGAAGCTGTCCCTAGCTATATGCAAACTGTTATTAAGCCTACAAAGCAAAAGTATTAATGGGGGAAAACAAATACCTTAAGTTGCAGTGTTGAGTTTTATGGTTATAATGGGAGTACATTTTATAAGCAGGTAGAATTTGTCTGACCCCCTTAAAGTAGTCTTTGTGCTTTTCATATACACTCTGCTAGCCTGTCTTCTCACAGTATTGGGTAGTTAATAGCTCTGTAGATTTTATTGCCAGCAGGAGTTTAGTGTAATATTGATTTAACATTTCCAAATAATGGCAGTAATTTCAGTAAAGGTTTTTTCCTCTTTTGGAATAAACTAAAAACGGTTAGATTTATTTTAAGTGAGGCATAAATCGTGCCATTGAAGTAAATCGGACTGTGTATCTTAGATGCAGATCTGTGATTGAAATTTGGTTTCTTAGTGGCATGGTGCTGCTGAATCCCTTCCCTTTGAATTTTCTCTCCTCAAACCCCTAACTCTTCAGGAAACACTGAAATTCAGAAAAATAACTGAATGCTGCTCAGATGGAAAAATGTATTTTGTAATTGGGAAAACATACATTGTTTCAGTTCAGAAGCTTCATCAACAGAATTTTTTTCATATAGAAATTACCTGGTCACATTGTAAAACGTACAACTTTCTGTTTTCTTTTCAAAATGGTTTATTTCAATGTCGTAATGTTCTTTGTTTTTAACCTAGCTATTTACAAAAGTACCAGAGTCCGTGGACTCTAGATTGTGCTATGATTTATCAGTAGTTCAGTCATCACAATTGACCCATGCATCTTGTAATACTTAGAGAAAACACGTTGAGCTCTGTTCTTGGAACAGATAAATATAGAACTGCTATTGTGAATATTCTTGTAGTGACGTACTTAATCTAGAAAGCTAACAATTCTTTTATTTGCTTTTAGGGTTTGAAAGTATTCTAGAAGGCCTGTTTGGACCTGGATTATTAAAAGATCTCAGTTTGTTTAAAGGTATTCAATCTCTATGTTTGTATCTTGTTCTGCATTTCTAATGACAGGAGCAGCCCCAGCTCTGCCTCTAGAAAATGTGTGTTACCGTGGTGATTTGTGCTTTTTTCCCCCTCCCCCAGGCAGTGCTCACAGTTAGTTTCATATTGGCTAAAATTACTAATGAGTGTGTGTTCATCTTTATGTAGCTGGGAGTGTATTTGGCAGTGCTTGGAAAAACAGATTTGTTGTGCATAGATAAAATGTATACAGTTTGGTAATCTGGGGATTTAGAAAAATGGCTGAAATGAAGCCTGCGTCCTCAGAATGCAGGCAAGAATGTTGTGAAACAGGTATTTAATTCGGCATTTCTCTTTTGGCTCCAGTTGTGTCGCGGTTTATGAATATGAAGTAATTTGCTATTCCTCTGATTTACAGACTGTGAGCCTGAAGGTGTTTCTGATTGGTCTTTTGATGAAAATTGTCTTTTCTGCTGCCTGAGAAGAGAAAAAGTGAAGGTAACAATGCAGATGTGTGAAGCTAGTAGTTGTAGGGGAGGGACAAAGGGAGGGAGTTTGCTGTTCCTAGTTAACTGAACATAGAAAATCTGCAACCTCCTACCCCTTTCACTTCCTTCGGAAGAAGGCTTTCTGAATTAAAATAATGCAAGTTAATGAACAGACTTGCCTCTTCTCTGCAACTTTTTCTTTGTAGTGTGTGATGCAGATTTTTTTTTTCTGTGTAGTGGCTCTTTCTGCTTGGTGTTTTTTGTTTGTTTTGATGTTTTGGTTTTTTTGGGGGTTGGTGTTTTTGTGGTTTTTTTTTTTAGTTCCTTGTAAGAGATGTTATTGAGATCATGAAACCCTTCCCAAGGGAGCCAAAGTGTGGCTTGTGCATGTTTACTGCAGTCAGATGCTGGACTTATCTTCAGTATGGAAATGTGGTCCATTTTAACAAGCTATAGTCTTGTTCTTTATTTCTTTCCCTGCGGGCCATATCCTTTTATTAAAGGGCTCATATATATGGTAGATTTTGTACTGTGCTTGTTTATAACCAAGTCAGAGCTTATATGTGGACAAGTCAGCTTTGCCAACATAATAAACTTGCCGTTTGTTTTCTTAACAAGATTATAGCTATGTATGAAACAAAGGCTATCATGCTATATGTGATTGTTGCTCAGCCCACGTGTTGAAATAATGATTGTTCTGTAGCATAGGAAGGAAGGCTCATCTGTCTTGGCAAAACTTCATTTGCTGGAACTCTTAACTACTTTTTCCTGCACAATGTAAAATAACACGCGAAGTGAATCTATCAGTTTAGGAATGAAACAAAAGCACCCTTTTTTTTCCTCTGCAGCAGCTAACATGGATGACTGAGTGGCTTGTTCAAAAAGGGACTGCCTTGTTGACACTGCTACTTGCCATGTTGTCAGTTTATGCTTGTTTTTGTGTTACAGTTTTTGTGAAGGCATGGGGAGGAGGGTTAGGAACTCTTGCATTTAGAGCATATGTAAGGCATAATACTTTCTTTAGTTGAGACTGACAGCAGGTAAGCTGTATGTGTACTTGTGTTGTGAGCGAGTTCTGTCTTGTTTGACTTATGTCATCTCATAAAAAGACAAAATTCAGTGTTTAGCACAGTTCTAGTTAAACCATTGAGTTGATTCAGAAATTAATTTTGTGGTGTGGTCATATACTGCTCGTAGTCTGGGAGAATCTAACGGTGTATGGGTAGATCTTCAAAAAGACTATTTACATCTCAATTGTCCTCATAGGTCCACAATAACTAGCATAAAGCTCCTGAAAAATCAGTGATTGTTAGTTGAAGACAAAAACTAAGAACACGAATGTCCATGGTATAGTGTGCTGTTTAGGCATGGTTGTCTTGTCGTTTTCAAGCTTCTACACCATCTTTAGTCAGAAGCTGAGATACCACTATTTATATTTTCATGTACTTCACTAGGCTTTTCGTTCTAGTTTCCCATAGTAAAGTGTAGCCTATGATTGCGAGTATCACTGAAAAACTGACAATGTATTCCTTATACTAGTGGTAGTTATGATTTATGTTAAGGTTCCTCCTCATGGTTTCCCATTGTATTGTGTGATGGCTTGTAAGTGGGCAAAATAAAAGATGCAGATGTGATGCAGATGCAGGGCCATGCAGCATCGCTAGGCAAAGGTGCTAGGTGAAGGGGAAGTTGCTTATAAGTTCTGAGCAGGCTGGAGAGTAATGTGAGTTAAGAAGGGATGTGGTAGTGTCAGTCAGCCACCATGGGCTTGGGTAGAATAATTTTTATAAATAAAACCCAAGCAATTTCTGTCACTTCACATTTCAGTAGCCAACACTACTTGCTTAAACCACTTTTCATATAACCAGTTGATAAACAGGGACAGCAAAGAGAGCTGCGTATGCACGCTTGTTTGCTGCATGGCAAGGGATCCCTGTCTGGGGAATGGGGAAGGAGGGTGAACCAGTCCATTCAAACTGAACCAGTCCATTCAAATCAGAGTTGTGATGTCTCTTAATCCTGGTGATTCTCTTCATCTTTGGCATGGGGCTTCTTTGGAGCACGTAATATTTTTTAGGTGGTGGGATTTTTTTGTTGGGTTTTTTTTTTTTTTTCTTCCTGCACCCCATCCTCTATACCAGTTCTGTTGGCTTTGGGTTTTTGGGGTGTTTTTGGTTTGGGTTTTTTGGTTTTATTTTTGAGGGAAGAATGTATCTTTTTAGACCTACTGAGTTCTTATATGTCAGCTGAGAGAGATGGCAGGGTTGGAGTGCTTCCTCTCCTCTGTGGGTGTACCAAATTCCTTTACTGATGGCCATTGCTGATGTCATTAGCTTGCAATACAGAGTTAGATATGAGTCTTTTATGGGAGCCTTCAAATAGTGTTTATTTAACATTGTAATTTGAATTAAAACATCAGAGACTTAATTGCTACAAAAAAGTTTGTAACTTCATTTGGTATTTAGCTGAATGCTGGACAGTCTTCATCTGATGTACTGAACTAAATTAGAAACGGTACTGGATTATTTGAAGTCTCTTCTATTCAGCATCTGTACTGATATCTTTAACTCTTCTTTTTAGGGAGTTGCAGGCTTAGTCTTTTGTAGAACTTGTCTGTTTCTGTACATGAAGTGGTAGCAGTTGTGCTTTCTGTACCACATCCTCTGTTTTTTTTTATGGTTCATGTGCATTCTCTTGCCTTTTTAGGAAAAGAACTGGGCAGGGAGGGATCATTTGGGTTTGTGCTTGTATACTGCTGAGTTACAGAATTAAAAGGTGTGTAATTGATGTTGTAGCTGGGAGCAAGATAGCCACAAATCGCACATTACAACAGTGAGTGACTGTGGCTGGCCTTTTTTTCCAATGAGTACATCTCTACCAATACCCCCTTTTGGATTAGTGGAATCATTAATCTGTGTACTTGATTTTCACCTTTGGGTGACACATAGGTTACCTGGTCTGACAAGTTCAAAGCCAATAAAAGTCTTCAGGTTTTTTTTTCTGGATTTCATTTGGCCTTAAGAATTACCTGTAGCTTAGGAGACAGTAATTGTGCTTAAGGAGCACTGAGTTCTGGACTGCAGGATGAGAATTGAAAGCCAAGATTAGTTTATTGGCAGAGCTGTTTAAGGGAAAAAAACTACGCTTAGTCTCCCACCCATTTCAGTGATGTTGGTTCTTGCTTTTACAAGCAATCAGATTCAATTACATGCATTCTTCAAAGGATGGAGAACCATCTGCTGAACGATTTTGAAAAGATTAATTTATTTGTAGCAGTAGTTCTACTTGCAAATGCAGAACAAATGCATGGATTTTTTGGCAGTCATAGTACAAGACAGTTTTTGATAGAGAAATAGACTTAAGTGTCTTCATTTGAAAAGGATAATAAAATACAGACAAACTAGGGAGCTAAAATCTTCCCAGATGCATTTTAGCCCAAATCAAAAGGGTTATGTACAATAATATAAAACTTTGAGAAATTTGAAATTTCTTCTTCCTTCGTATAATGCAGAATACACAATTGTTTTGATATAGTATGATCAGAGAATAGCTAGTTATCTAAGGAGCTGCTCCCAGCTTGTTAACATGGGTGCCTGCGTGCAGAAGTGCATGGGTACACTGATGGGCATGAAAGCCAAAAAAGACGAAGTTAGCAGCTCTAGCTGCTCACTCATAGTGAGAGGAAGTAGATTGGGTTCTGTGGGACCAAATTCAGTGAATTCTCGTATGGATAGTCTGCAAATGTGGTAATTCTCAATTCCTTGTGGGCTTTATCCTTCACTGGGAAGATGTAAGGTAGTATAGTTTCCAAGGTGATTGGGTTTTTTTGGTTTGTTTCTTTTTTTGAAGCTTTTTATTATAAAATGTTGTGGTACAGACAAGATCAATTCAGGCAAATTGAACTTGTAAGTGTACTTGAGTTATCTCTTTTTAATTATGGTTCTTGGTTTTTCAGTGTGGCTTGTTAAATAAACTGACAGAGCTATCATTACATTCTCCACAGCCACAGATTTCTTCTGTATCGAATGAGGTAGTCTCTACTGTCATTTGCTCATAGTTTGAGCTCAAGCCTACTTTAAGATATTTTTTTTTTTAGAGGATGCAGATAGATAAGACTGGAAGAAAGCACCAGTGATACGAGGGGAAGTTGGAAAAAGAATCCTTAAAGAGGATTCAGTTGAGTATATTCATTTGGAAAAGCAAACGCTATTGTCTACAGCTACATAAAGCAATTCATATGTGTTTTAAAAAAAGAGGGGAGGGGGGACACAACTAATCTCGTTAGCTGATGAGAGCAGAACAAGAAGGATAATACTACTAAGCACATTAACTATTTTATAGATATGTTTAAGCTACAAAAATAACAAGAGAGAAAATGACTTCTAGGAGTGTATTCTGGAGTCTCATGCTGTTGAAGGCGGAAGGTTGAGTCTGGTCTTCAAATACTGCTGGGCTGCAGTGTGAAGACCTTTAATAATTCTTTCAGTTGTGAAGAAGTGTCGTAGGGTGCAGCATGTGGAGGAGTAATTTTAAAATTCAAAGGTACTCTGATACGATTTGGGTATTTTTAAAAGCTTGTAAGTAATTGCTTTACACAAACATCTAAAAGGTAATATCATGCCGTTACTTGATTATGATTAGTCATAATAACAGCTTCTGAATCTGGTGTCCTTTCACTATGGAGGAATGAAAACAATAAGAAGTAACTGTGGTAAGTGTCTGAATAATTACAAAGAGAAGCTATCACTATCATTTAAAGCGTTAATTTGTAGAATAATTGAAGATGGCGAAGGAAAGAGCTGAAAATCAGTTGAAGTTGTGGAATTCTTATGATTTTTGATGGCTTTTGAAGGTGTTTAAACTGTGTACAGAGATCCTAAGTGCACTGGAAGATGCTCTAAATAATTTTTAATCACTTTAAAATACTCAAGCATTTACACTGTCAATTTTGTGTTGGGTGATTTTAGAATAATTTGATATGGAGGCTAAAACCTGAAGAGGCTGTTTGTGATAATCTCCAGCTGCATTTAGTAGTAATGCAGGGTTACAGTTTTGTGCATAAATGTCAATGTAAGCATATTGTATTTCCACTGATTGTTTTATCTTCCTCTCCTCCTCCTATAAATAATAAGTTATATTCAATAGCTGTGGATCAGTCAAGTTAAATTTCTTTTGATTTTGATAAATCTGACATCAGTCACCTTAATAAGGAAATAATACTGTTTCTTACTGTAAAAGTATATATGTTCAGTAAGTGAGGGATGTCTTAAAACTAATTAAACCATCTGAATTTGTAGCTGATGCCAAGCTGAGAACAGTTGTAGATGTTTTAAAGGACATGCTCAGAATTGAAAATGTTCTTGATAAATTTGAGAAACAGGATGGATAGACTTGTTTTGTCAAGTCACAAGTTATGGATGTCTGAAAAGTGATAGCACTGTAAAAGTAGTAAACTAGTTTTGGGGCTACATCCAGAGAGGCATTTGTCTTAATACCTGGAGAGGAAAACCTACCTGCTGGTGAAGCCTCAGCTGGGCGTAGCATTTTAAGAGACATGTAAACAAACTGAATAGCATTGAAATGAAAGCAACAAGAATGAGTTGGTCTTGAAGGTAGAAGGAAAGAAAGACAGTCTCTGGTGCCCTTAAGGCTTGCCTAGAGAAAATTGGTTATTCTCCTTTGCACTGGCTAGGAGTTAAAAAGACTGTACAGTCTTAAGAAGAATGAAGTGTTAGAGAAGACAACCTAGGAGTGCTGAAACATTCCTTTCTTACTCACTGTTCCTCATCTTGCCTTGGGATGGGGTGGGAGGCTGGATGGTATCCCTGGGGTCCATGGGTTTGCCAGTCTGTGGGAAGTCTCTCTGTTTTCTTTGTGAAGATGGATAGGAATTATCTCATACTATTCTAGCTTGTGGGTGCTTCCTGCTCCATCTGCATATGTCCTGTGGCTTAAACATGAAGCTGCTGTTGCCATATCCGAACAAAACCAGCCTGCATCATACCTTTCTCTTCATGCCAGCAGTTTAGCATTTAGAATTGCTGTGTCAACATTCCCTGCAAGGAGGGCCTCAATGAGGATCCAGCACTAGGGCTGACAAGGCCGGGCTGTCCAGGTCTTATGGTGGTCTCTCAAGGTCATGCATTGACCTTGCATTTTGAAAACCTGAGCACTGTATTTCTAAGGCTCTTTGACTTAATTATGTAGTTATGCTGTATATCCTAACGTACAAAAAGAGCTTTAGCCCTTTGGGAGCATGTGCAAACCACTCCAAGTATCTTTTCCTGAAGTTATAAGTTCAATATAGTGGTACTGCATGTTCACTGATGGGATTCCAGAGGTGCTCTGGGGTATGGGTCCCACCTGAAGAGAACCACAAAGAGAATAAAATGAATCCGGTGTTATAAATAATATGTAAAAGTAACTGGTTGGGTTTTTTTTCCAGGGTATTTGTAATCAGTGACAATGCTATCTAAATATTAATAGGTTTTTCTTCTTCCTACTTCCTGCATGTTGGTACTGAAAATTTTGTTGTGATTTGGGACTGTAGAGTGAGAGGATAAGCCTGATGGTAGTGGATCCAAATAATGGTTATAGGGAAGAAGGGTGGAAAATGTAAAAAACAAAACAAAACCCACCAAACCAAGCAAACACACACCACCAAATAAATCCTTCTCAAAAAAAAAAAAAAACAAAACCCACAACAAAACAAACAACCCCCCCCCCCCCTACTTTTGGAAATTGACTTTGAGTAGCAATCACAGTCAAATATTTGGTGTGGAAACTTGGTGTTTCAGTCTAGAGGTGAACCAGCTGCAAAGATTGCTTGAATAATTGTGACACAATTGATAAGAAAATAATTTTAAAATTGCAATGAACAGAAATCTTTCCAGTATGTTTTCTCTCATGTAGTCAGTGCTGTACTGCAGACAGCAGAAAATAGCTGAAGATTTTTTTTTTCTATGCACAAGGTTAAATCTGACTTTCTTTATATAACTGTATTGCTTTATATTTTGATGTCTTAGCATGGACACTGATAAAAACCGTACCTGTAAAGAGATCTGTGCTCCTTAGTTTGAGGGGTAAGAACTAAGCGCTGCAATTGCCTTGCTATTCCCCTCTTCCCCTGAATGCAGATCAAATGATCCTTTATTCAGCCATTCACCAGTGTAAGCCACTTACAAATTTTTTTTTTCTGGGTGATCCCTTTTTCTTCATTCCTTCTCTATGTAGAAAATGTACAGCTTTAGTTAGCCTAGGTAGATTAAATTGTACCCTTTATGCATTACCTTTATATGACTCATGTAAAGTATGCTTGTTTATGGTGAGGTATGCTGCCACTGAACTTGGTTTCCACTGAGTTGCTAGGCTAGTACTTACTATGTATTGTCTTAGTTGCAAAAAGTACTAGGAAGATTTGAAATGCATTGTGTTGGCCAAGGGTTTTGTTTTAGGCTTCTTCCAGACCTATAGTCTGTCAAAGGGCAGAGTATCAGATCAGGTTTAAGGGGTAATGTTTCCTTCAATTCCGAATTATCTTTTTGTCCTTTGAATTAAAAGAAAGTTTTTTTGCAGTGGCTTGTGGGACTTTCGCTAGAGTGTACTAATTAACTCTAATGGATCTTATCTAGCCAAATCTCTGGGCATCAGTTTGCAGAGATTCCTTTTAAAGTAAAACTTAAAGCAGTTTGTCTGTAAATGCTTAGATATTCAAATGATTGTCCCAGCACTTCTGTATGCCTAAATTACTTCTGTTATTAGTAAATTTGCATGAATGTCTGCTTTTTACACAAACTGATAAGCAGAGTTTACAATTATCCTGATAATGCCTAAAAGGTAATGGAGCTTGACTCAGAATGGCTGTCAAAAACTAGGGCAGATCCTGCATTAAACTTTGTCAGATGCAGAAACAGTTTCAAAAAGAGGATGGAAGTGTGTTCTGTGAGGTCTCACTTGAAGAGTAACTCACAAATATTGGGTTTATTCTCCACAAGTATTTTTATTGTGAAATCCTGTACCAGATAATTCACATAATTTAAGTATCAGAAAGGTGCAACTGCATTTTCAGTGTGTTAATAAAGTATCGCTGAACCGTGGGAGCGCTACGACTGGTTACTGGTACAGAAGTACCTGGCAGAGAGGTGAATGCTTTTATTATAGTTAACCCATCAGTTCAAATTTGTATTCTTTAAGACTATCTCAAAAGTGCTAATCTTTCCTATGAGAGCCAGCAGGTTTGAGAGCAAGCCTGGAATCTCTCTGGTATCAGTGGCTTTGTGACTTTGTGCAGACTCTTAGGTTCACAATAAACATGTTGTTTTACTCGCTTGTCACCTCTGTTATTGCATGTCCCTCATCTTTTTATTTAGCGTAAAATACTGCTTTGTCTCTATACCCTGTCTGAGATAGTATCTCCCTTTGCTTTTGATGGATAACTTTTGGAAGCTGTTGAATTATAGATCTGCCATGAGAGCCCGTGGGGTTCAGGCCAGAGTCCACAGTGTTTCATGTTATTACCCTTTGCACATAGTTCATGTGACTGCTGTGTTCGTTAATTTACTATGGGCTGGTTATGTAACCTTGCTGCATTAAACCTCTTGAAGTTGAGATGGCACAAACTTAAGAGTGACTTCTTCTTTTTGTTTATTGGGGATGATAAATGAATTGCCAGTTCTTTCCTTCCCTTCTAGATATGAACCTGAAGTCAACTTGTACGGTAGAGGCCAAAAAGGTGTAGCCTCAATATTATGGTAACTGATACTTTGTAAAGGTTAACAAAACAAAACACTCCCTAAACCCAAAGAGTGGTT